TTGCCTTGTACCGCTCTATACTATCATTAACCCTGTACTTCACAATGAACACCCATCTACATCCAATAGTCTCCTCTGTAGGAAGATCAGCCATTTCCCATGTCTGATTCTTAATCAAAGCCTTCATTTCTTCTTGCATAGCTGTTCTTTGCTTAGGTTTAGAGAGAGCCTCGCTAACATTCTTAGGTATAGACATAGAGTTTAGGGAAGAAATGAAGGCATGGTAGGAGGGAGATAGACAATTGTAGGAAAGATGGTGTGAAATGCAATGGGTTGTAAACTTTCTCTTTCCCTTGGGGAGTGCAATGGGAAGATCAAGATCAATTGCAACATCAGCGTTAGGTATAGAAATATCATTAGTGGGATCGGAAGCAATAACATGCTCAAGGGAAATACCTAGAACTATATCAGTCAAACCTGGAATCTCAGATGGTCTGATGGAGAGTGGTGCAGGTTCCTTTGTTGGAGCATGCGTGGAATCAACCTTCTTGCATTGGCATTGAAAAAACTATGAGGCAGGTCGTAATGGGTTAGGTAGTGACACTCGAAGAGTTGTTGGTGGAGCAACAAATGGTATTGATGATGTAATTGGTGGTGGAGCTAGTGGAACAAATGAAGGAACAAGAAGAGGAACAAACTATGAGCTCTCCTCCCCAAAACACTCCCTTTGAGGAGAACCACTGGAGAAAAAATATGTAGGCTCGAAGAAAGTAACATCCATAGTGACAAACTTGCTCCCTGACACTAGATCATAACAATAGTACCCCTAATAGCTTTGAGCATACCTAAAGAAAACATATTTCTTGGCCTTAGGACCCCACTTCTTATGATGAGGGCTATGTGGCACCTTAAACCCAAGAATGCATGAAGGTATACAGTTGATCAAGTACATAGATGTGAGAATTGCATCACCCCAAAACCGAACAGGAACTGAAGCACACTATAAGACTTATTGCCACCTCCACAATGTGTTTGTTTTTCCTCTTTGCTACCCCATTCTGCTGCAGCATATAAGCATAACTACTTTGATGAATCACCCCATGCTCCAATAAATATGTGGCTAAATCCTTTTCAAAGTACTCTTTAGCATTGTCTGACTTGGAAAATCTTAGTCCTCATCCAAACTGTGTGAGAGCCATCTAGTGGAATTGTCGTACCAAAATAGGTACCTCATCACGTGATCTCATAAAATATATCTAAGAATATCGAGTGTAATCATCCATGAACAAAAGAAAATGGCAGGAACCACCCATGGAAGAAATATGATAAGGCCCCCATACATCAATGTGAACAATATCAAAAGCAAAAGAACTTCTTTTATTACTTAATTTAAAAGAATGTCTACAATGTTTTCCTAATTGACAACTTTCACACTCCAGACTAGACAACTAAATAGACTTAAACAATTTTGGAAATAAACATTGCAAATACCTGAAAGAAAGATGACTCAAACGATTATTCCCTTTCCCAACAATGGGAACATGGGAATCATTTGTTGTAGAGACTCTATCTCTACTAGAACACAACTGGTAAGAAGTAAAAAGAGTAGACATGTTGGTCATATGCTCAAATTTTACTGAGTCTATAATCCATAGAGATCCCTCCTTACCTGAGGTGGATGCATAATTTGTAGTGGCATATGAACTATTTGTGTGAGCAAAAGAAGTGGTGTGGCTTTGATGGGAGCAACCAAGGTAACCCCAAGCCTTCAGGTGTAGGGGGTGTGCTGAGGGATAAGGAAAGCAACATTGTGTTTTTATTCTCAGGGCCAGTGGGAGTGGGAGATTCTACAAGGGCAGAACTACTAGCGGATGTACAAGGTATCTAGATCGCCAACCAGCTTGGGGTGGAACATTTGCTAATTGTAGGGGATTCTCAGGTGGTAATAGGCTGGCTCTCAAATCCGGATGCTGTCATTTGGGGATACAGAGACCTCCTCAAAAAAGTGAAGTGGCTAACTAGTAATATGAGAGTGGATGTTAAGTCATTTATCGAAAAAAAAAAGAAGTGGTGTGACTGCCCTTAAACTTCTTGCATTTTGCTGTTTGCCTGTAGAACCAACTGAGTCCTTACTTATAAGTTGCCCATACTAATCCAATTCTGTCCTAACTGCTGCTGCTGTAATGGACTCTAAATTAGCTTGAGTAAGAAATCCTGATGCGTCTTTAGTAATTGCCATATTGACATTCCCTTTCTTGTTCTTAACCTAGGCTAATATAAGATGTGGGTGGAGCTTCCAACAGGTATCTCTGGTATGCTTAGCCTTCTTGCAGTAATCACACACCAAGTCTTTCTTGTCTTTCCTCTTAATCTCATTGCTCCTCTGTCTTAATTTGGCTTAGATTTGATTGTACTAACCATAGCTGGTCAAATTCAGGGTTCAGTCCAGCCAAGAACTCAAAGACCTTATTTTTCTCCACCAATTTTTGATAGGTTGCTGCATCCTTAGTACTCTCCCAAACCACAGTCTCTAAGTGGTCTATCTCCTACCAAAGTGTTTTCAACATAGAGAAATACATAACAAGAGGTCTATCTCCTTGCTTTGTATTAATCACCTGATTGGCTGATTCCTCAATTGATAGGCTCTGGCTACATTCTGTTTGTAGGAATAGTCCTTTACCACTCCATCCCAAATCTCCTTTGCAGTATTAGCCCACATAAAATTTTTACCAATGTGAGGTGACATTGAATTGCATAGCTAAGACATCTCCATGTAATTTTCTTGCACCCATCGGGAAGAATCTGTATTAGGTTTCTTTTCCTCCTTACTGATGTACCCCAATTTCCCATGAGCACTAATAGTCATCTTGGCTGATTGTGCCCATTCTAAATAGTTTGTACCATCCAATTTTATAGTGGTAATAATCCCATATCCAAAAGGATCACTTGTACCTCCTACACTCAGACCTAGGTCACCGATTGACTTTTGTTCAGTACTCCAACCCTCCATTTCAACTCAATCAGCTTAAAACCAAAAAAGGATCAGGTAGAAACACTCCAGGATCAGATTGATCTCACAAACAAGTGTGGAAAACCTTTCCGAAGGAAGAAAACTTCACCCGGAGAGAAATCTCCCTTCCTGAGAGCTGTGGGAGAAGAGAGAACAGGGTATCGATCTCTCTAGGAGGCTCAAAAAAGGCCAAAAACTGAACTGCCTCCTATAAAAAAACCTTAAGATATCCATAAAAGTCTGAGAGCCCAACACCAGGTCAAAATTAAGAGTCCAACATGACTAGGACTCTTCCCTGCACTCCAGTTTTTCCTGATTTAAACACAAATCATCTTCTTGATGACTGAAAACCACCAAAATGTCCAAGAACTGGGCAACCTAAAGCAGATCGATCAGCCCTCTATTTCCTCATGCAGTCAACTGATCTAGGACTGCATGAATCAACCTCAAGGAATCCTAACTAGGCTCTGATACCAAGTAGGAATCTGCTGAAATAAAAAAAAAACTTTAGAAGAAAGAAGAGAAGAAGTTTTTGTGAGAGAAGAGAAGAAGAAGAGAAAGAGTGAAGAAAGGAAGAGAAGGCAATCTAATCTAGCTGCCGTCTTCCATTAATATTTATACTATAAATAAAAAGTGTATACAATGACTGATATGTCCTTATAGGGTGGCTGATGTAAAAAACATAAAAACACTACTCTAAAAGCTTTCAAATAGTATGCTGTGGCCCCACCTACTAACTAAACAAATAATAAACAAAAACAAGTAATAAAAATCGTAAAAATCCTCAACAGCAATACTGTTTTTGTTGATACTGTGTTTCATCCATTTAGCAGATGGATGACTAAATTTTAGATGAAACTTTTACTACTTATCTGTCTAGAAACTGCATTGTGTATAACTCTCACCTTCTCCTATATTATATCTTTTAGGTAATGGGATATTTTTAAAGTATTGGGATTTTCCATAACTTTTTTATAGTCTCTCATCAACCCTATGGAGCATCTTGTAGAATGCCAATTTTCTAACTTTCTATACGTTATCATCTTGAAAACATGTAAATGATAGACAATAGAAGTGAGTTTAGTTGAAAGATAGACAATAGATCTTCTGAGATGTGTGACTAGTAATTTTTTTAAATTTCATAGATGATCTTCAATTGCCTTCTCTTCCGACCTCAGAAACAGGACGGTGACATTTTGTGGTGTGCTGGTTTCTAAGACATTGCTTTTTACTCCTGTGAATGTTTAAGATATTTGGTATGAGACATATCGATATTCTAGTTTTTTACCACTTGTATCAATTGTTTTAATGAGAAAAAGGAATCCCAGAGATTCGTCAATCTTCAATATATTGGACCTGGATCTGATAAAAAAAGTATTGGACCTGGTTGGTTCTGCTTGTGCATGCTCCCAGTTTTGTGACTGTCTTGTAATTTTCATACTTGTCCATGGACTTTGCATCTTTTCATCTTTTGGGCTATATAAAGGAATGTGGTTTTGTTTATAATACAAGAAATGTAATGCTCAGGTATCCAAACTATTTATTCAATGGATCAACTTCTTTATTGCCATTACGTATCACTTGGAAGGACCTTAGTCAAATGACTATTTTTTTTTCACTTTGACAAATTTGTTTTGAAGATGCCTTGAAGATTGATGAGCATATTTGTCTCCTGTTTACAAGTAATTAATTAAATATGATGTTGAAAGATAAACACGGGTCATTTTTAAAGCATGGGTAATACAAGGAAGGTCCTTTTTCTGGATGGTTTGATTGAAAGTTGTATGCCATTTGCACCATGGCCTAGTTCTTTTACTGGACGTGCTAACTTTTGAGATACTCCCACCTCAAGAAGTGTAATTTACTAACAACTTCCTATGGTTGAATGTTAATAATAATTTTAAGAGCACTTCTGCACGTTTCGACTGTTATTCTCATATTTCATACCTATCCAATTGACTTAAAAGGTTTATTTCTATGTTTATCATTAATATCTTCTTTTTTATGAATCAATTTCCTTGTTTTAACATGTTCCTTGGATGGTAATCAGTTCACAATGGAATTGGCTGGCACTGAGTTTGCAAATACGCCAAAGAGTTATTCCTTGAATATGTTTAAAGACTTTGTTCCAATGTGTGTTTTCTCTGAGACGAGTCAAGGTGAGGATTATCATGTGTACTTTTTGTATATTCAGTTCATTTAACTTTTATCTATAGTTGTCACTTATTCAAGGCACACCCATTAATTCATATCTAATGCACCTTGTTGGTGTTATTTTGATTCTCATTTTTCTCTCTGTGTTGAAATGTTCTTTACTATTCTTACTTTGTTTGACTTGATAGGCTAAATGTGTGCTGGCTAGGCAATCCCAAATAACATAAATTGATACAAGCGCGCATGCGCGCGCTCACACACACACATAGCCACTTCTTGCATGGATAAAGTTGATTCTAGATATTGATAGGGAAATACCTAGATGTATTTTAGCTAGCTTTCAAATTTTACATTTTACATGAAATCTTCAGTGTTCAACTAAAACAATATATGTGCAATCTGCAACACAGTGATTTAGAGAGGATTTATCTGTTTGCTGATTCATATTTGGTTAAATATTTTGGGTGGGCTTACAGTTTAAGTTTCAAAGGTGAAATCATGCAAAAATCATGGGAACTTTGTGGATGCAGAAATTAGCATTAATGCAGTTGATGAGTTTTTCATTGGATTTACAGAGAGATGACTGTTCCCTTTGGAAAGGGGTCCTTGCTTGGTGAAATGGTAAAACCTTGTCTTGACAAGCATGGGAGTTGGGGGGTGGTTACTTATTGCAAAAAATGATGGAGGTTAGGAGTTTACTTGGTCAACCCCTCCGACAACCCTCTATTACCAAGACCTGTATTGGTTAATGATCTTCTAAAAACTGTTGCAGGTTGCCTGGATGATTTTATGATGGGAGACATCTTTTTTGATCGAACTACTAAACCCTAGCGTTTCAAACTTTAGGTTAACAAACTGACATAGAGAATCAAGTGAGGGATTAGTCAACTGATGGGATTTTGGACATGATTGCAGGTTTATACATAATCCTGATTGCTACTCTTGGATGTAATTTTTCCTTCATGTCCATACAGTAGGATTCTTAAGAACTGCCAAATATAAAAGATGAAACCATGATTAGAAAGTGAAGGAAAGGATTAGAGATGGAAAGATAAGGGTGAAGCTCGAGTAGTTCACTTGGTTGGAGTTAATGGTTATTATCTACCATGATTGAAGTTTCATATCCTTCTTTTAGTGTATTATGGTCTCTATAAGAGCATGGTCTTCTACTCATGTAGGGCTGATCAATGGAGTCTGTTCTGATCTGACTATCTGAGATCCAATCTGATTATTTTGGATTTGGATGACTTTTTTTTATCAGAAAAAAAGACTTTTATTAATAACAGAGAAATATTGAATTACAATAGTTATAGGTTGCAGTAATGCATTAACCCAATCTACAAACACATGCAAACAGTTACAGTTCTGCCCAGTACAAGGTAGATCTATTTTCCCCCTGTTTTGCTAGGGTATCCGCCAACCCATTTGCAGTCCTTTTGACCCAACCAAACTGAGAGTTGAACCTCCTTGCAAGTATGTCAATTTCTCTGTAGATAAATTTGAGCTTTCAAGGTGCTGATGTGTTGTTTTTAGCCCAAGAAATGACCAGTAGTGAGTCTCCTTCTATTTCTAAATCTGTTGTTCCAATCTGCTCAGCCATCTTTAGATCATGAAGTAGAGCCAGAGATTCAGCCTGTATTGAGTCACCAATACCTATTGGTCCTGAGAAGAGTGCCACAACTTCACCTAGATGATTTCTAATCCCACCCCCTATACCTGCCCTTCCCGGGTTACCAAAGGAACTCCCATCAAAGTTTAGTTTTAGTTTGTCCAGTGCAGGTGGCTTCCATTCCGCTCTCACAACTTCTTTGGGTACATCTGTTTGTGCTACTTCAGTCCAGTTTCTTAGAATCTCATTCATGGAGAAGTTTTTGAATAGTTCCATGGTCATCATCCAATGTGCAGTTCTGATTTTTATGGATTTGGATGATCCATCTACATAATTGGTTTGGATTCAGATTTTGAGGGTTGCATTTGTTTAATAATTGAATTGGATGCAGATTTGACACTATCCAATCTGATTAAGATTCAAGTCGCACACACATAACCTTTTAATGTTTATAATTAATTAAAAGGGCAGCCTAGTGCACAAGGCTCCTGACAATGTGGGGTCTGGGGAGGGACAGATGTATGCAGCTTTACCCCCCTATACATAAAGGCCCTGTTTAGCGCGTCTTTCTGCACAGTTTGTCAGCTATTTAGAAGCCTGAAAGATCACATTGTGGTCTTTTTCCATTTGGTTTAGAGGTGATCTAGCCGCCAAAAGATGTTGCATTGAAAAGATGCGCGAAGCCTGTTTTGGGCTATTTTCGGGAAGCTCCAAATGGAGCTTTTCGGTTTTTCTTTTTTTCAACTTGTCTTTGCGTGGAAAGACGTGTGGAAAGACACGCCTTAACCAAATGGTCTTCAGGCTGTCAAGATCTTAATGCAAAAGCTCACTAGGGGCCGTTTGGAAAGTCTTTTTGGGAAGATCTTCTAGTAGCTCTAACAGTCAAAAGATGCATTGAGCTTTTGCATTAAGATTTGAGCAGCCTGAAGCCTGTTGGTTAAGGCGTGTCTTTCTGCGCGAAGACGAATAGAAAAAAACGCAAAAGCTCCATTTGGAGCTTCCCGAAAATCACCCGTTTTGGGCTTCTTGCTTCTTTTCGGCGCATCGACTTTTGGCGGCTGGATCTACCGCGAACCAAATGGGAATAGACTGAATCACAGTCTTCCGAGCTTGTAAATAGCCGACAGACCGCATGGAAAGAGGCACCAAATGGGGCCGTACGTCTTTTGACTGTTAGAGCTTCCAGAAGATCTTTAAAAAAAGACTTGCCAAATGGCACCAAAGAGAGGCAGGCTATTTCCAAGATTTGAACCCTGGTCACCAAGGTCTCAATGGAGAAACCCAACTGTTGTGCCAAGGTCCACCCTCAATGTTTATAATTAATAATTTCAGTATTTTATATTTAAATGAATTTATTTTATAAGTTAAAAGTGATTAGTTTTTAATTTTTCTTTATTTTAAAGTTGGTGTAATCTTCCAAAGGCAGCAATAAAAGAAGAGAAAAAATAAAGATAAAGTGAAGAAGGATCTGGTTGAAAGAAAAAGAGAACAGGAGAAGGGTTTTCCAATCAGAGAATTCAAGCTGGACTCCCCTAACTGTCGGCCCTTATACTTTATGTCATAACTTAAAGTGAAATTGCAAGATTGCCCTTACTTAAGTTACAGTAAGAAAAAGAGTAAACAGCCTAATAAATATTAACAGGAAGCATAGTTGTCAAGGCGACACCTAAGCAACAAGGCATCCTTGGAGGCTCGCCTCTTTATGTCACCAAGCAGTTTTGCATACTGTGTAATAAAATACTTTTATATTGTTATTTTTTTAAGATTATAATTATAAAATAGACATTATTAAAGAAAAATATTCATTTTTTGTGTTTATAAACTAATTTCTTTTTATTACTTTCTTATTTGTTAGGGTTTAATCAACACAAACATTGTTAACTGCTGTATTGAACTCTCAATGACTTCAAAATCTGAACCAATAAGTAAGGGAAGAACTTAAAAATTTGTCTAATCAACACATTTCACCTTTTCTTTTCTTCTTTTCCTATAACAAAAATAGGGGTTCAGCCCCTATATTTTTTGAATTTTCTTTCCTTTCTTCTTTTTCTTCTCATGAATATGTTGATTTTCTAGACTTAAACATGAAGTTTATAATTTTCTTATGAAAATTATGGATAGTTATTAAAGAAAGTTGGTTATGGAAACTTGGGAACTAGGCGACAAGGCACCCCCCTGTTTCCTAGCCTCACCTTGGCGCCTTGAAAACTATGACAGGAAGACAATTATACTTATTACTTTAACGGATGAAACAGACTCAAATTAATAGAATAATGGGGGCATTACCAAATGATGGTCCTGGCTATCTGGTAGACTAGACACAGACCTAACCTTTGACAATTTATTTTGCACAAAATGGCTGTTCCCAGGTCAGAAACCCCATTCTCATGCTTGTCAGCCTGAGACTTTACCATTGCATCAAGCTATGGCCCTTAACAAGCAGAGGCTAATGGTTACTTTGAATTTCCAAAAATTAGAAGTGGAAGGTGACTATAAGGTGGTTATTGGCTGGCTGAAGGGTGAAGAGGAAGGACGTTGGTGAATGAGCATTTAATCAGAGACACATGAGCTCTTGCATCTTGAGTGTAAATCTCATTCACTTGGATAAGGGGATCTGCCAATTCATTGGCTAAACTTTAGCCATACCAGTTCATAGATAGGTGCTCTTTTGGGGAAACTCCATTCCTCAAGCAGTGGTTTCATGTTGGGCTTTGAAGTTTAGCTCTTTTCTGGACTACAATTTTTCTTTGTTTATTGTCTTTGTATCTTTTGTGCAAGAATTTTCTATTCTGGTGAAATTCTCTGTTGTTGATAGAAAATCTGAACTACAAAATGGACATTAAGAAAAAATAAATGAATACATCCATCCCCAAGCTTTACAGGCTATATAGGCATAGAACAGACATGGCATGAGTGCACGAGTACAAGTTGTATTGGTATACAAATTACAAAAAGCATCATATGGTTAAAGAACATTTCTATGATCTCAAAACCTCAAATTCCGTTTTAGAAGCTGTAGTGGCCAATCCCTATGTATCCATCTCAAAATGGTGGTGCAGGGAAGGGAATTGTGCCGCAGACTTCTTGCCTCCGGGAAGTTGGTTGAACTTTTTGCCACACTGTTTGAAGACCATCTGGGATGAAGGCAGGGTTTTGGTAAACTCCTGGTTTGGCTAGTTTTTTATCTGTTCCCCAATTCAAAAGAGTTTGCACTTATTGAGAAAGACACATCAACCTTCATGAATCCCCTTCTATCACTTGAAATTGCCATTTCCACACAATGAAACCTTAAGGTGGAACTGGGTTCCCAATGGGGCAATATATGGAATTATAACTTAAGAATTAGGTAGTGCTTGTTGTAATACATGACCTTCTTTTGGTTTCAGTCAATCTAAGACTAAAGATCTAACGGGAGATCAAATTCGTATATAATTTTCTTCGACATGTGTGGATGGGGGTTTCTTTAGTGTAGAGCTGAAATAGCTGTTGAATAGGTCCCTGATGATCCCCACCAAAGGAGGGTTCAGGGAAGTGAACATGGAATGTTGCCTTGCACCATGACCATTGAGGGCCTGATGCTGGATGGAGGATAGAAAGAGGGCTGGGAGATCAGGTTGGAAAGGAAGAGGTTTCTTGGTGAATTTCAGCAGAGTAAAACCAGGTTAAGGACTTGGTTATCAACTTATCATGTTTCTGTTTCATTGCCTGATCCTTCTATTGATAGAAGAGGATTCCGTCCAGGCTATTATAGTCCGAGGGCATTATACCTAATCCTCATCCTCTCATCCCACAAACTTGGTGGCCATGGTCAGTAAACACACTGGGCTACCAGTCTGCAAGAAGCTTTTTTGGCCTGCAGGGATCAGGTTGTCTTGCCATACTGGAGGTAGTGGGAATTAGTTTATGGGCACATGGAAGCTTTCCTAATGCTGGCATGGGTCAACTTTTCCATTGGTAACCCTGTCAACCCCTTGACGAAATTTCTGTTGTCATTTTCACCTTTTCAGAATGTAAGGATTTATTTTCCTACATTTTGAGTCACTTTGTCTCGTCACTGGACTACTTTTCATGTACTACGTTTGGGGTGCCATCATGACATCCATGAAGCAGAAAATTTCCAACAATCCAACTGGCAATGATAGGCTTCAGTCACTTCGTCTTGTTGACCGAGACTTTTGACCATGACTTGCAGAACCAAAATATCATCCTTTAGTTGGGGTAATTCTGCATGTTGGATTGACTACAAGTTAAATGCCACCAAATTTTAGCCAGATCAAACAAGGTTTGACTGGTCACAGTCACTTCTTTTTTGGTTGGTGATGCATTGCCACTGATCTTGGCAAAGTCCAGCCCTGTTGTCCAATTGGCCTCAGATGGCTCATAGCCTCATTGTTTTCTGTTGATGGATTTAGTTAAATTGTGCATGTCGTGATGTTTATGTTAGGGGTGGTCTCTCTCCCTTGTTACAGTCCGTCTTCTGGGGATATTTGGGCTCAGAGACAGTCATTCCCATCTCATGTCAATGGCCTTGGTGCAATGTCTGAGCTGACCTTTACATGATGATATGGACTTGCCACATCAGCCTTAGCTTTTTGTGTGTACCAAGGTAGTCAGCTGGGTGAAAAATCCTTAACAGTATGTAAAATATGGATAGCAAAATCTTTGAGTTAATGGCTGTAAACAAGTCAAACCATACATTCTGGCATTATAAACTATGCAAAGAGAGGAATTAGGCTTGGTTGGATGGTAAAGTCTTGGCCTGACAAGTATGAGAACACAGATTTGAGTCTGGAAGTGGCCACTTTGTGCTAAAATTCTGGTAGTTATGTTCATATACAGTTCATCCTTCTGAAGACCCTGGATATAGTTCTAGAATGGAAGATGGAGAATGTAGCTACCTTCTCAGACTTCTTGTGATAATGCCATATTATATTGGATAGTTTCCTAAAAGCTCTAACATAAATGCTGTCCATAATATGCCAAAGGGTCTGCAAGATATGGTTGTTCTTGCTGAAGACATGGCTTCGAACCTCTAATACGATCCAAATGCAACTTTCTGTGTCTGCTTCCATGCAAAACATGTCTGGAAAGAATGTGCTGTCTTGCAATATCATACTCGGGATTAAGGCCAGCAAGAAATTCAAAAACCCTATACTTCTCTAGGAGCTTCTGGTAGGCAGCTTCATCCTTAGTGGTTTCCCAAACAACTGTCTCCAGATGGTCAATCTCCTGCCACAGGGTTTTAAGGGCTGAAAAGCAAACAGCAATAGGTCTATCTCCCTGCCTTGTAGCAATAATCTGATTCCTCAACTGATAGGTCCTAGCAACATTCTCACTCTGTGAGTAGGTTTCTACAACCCCATCCCATATTTCCTTAGCTGTATTTGCCCACAAAAAATTCTTACTTACATGGGGCAGCATTGAATTACACAGCCAAGTCATCACCATATAATTTTCCTGTACCCACCGGGAGCTGTTAGTTTCGGGTTTCACCTCCTCACCAGTGATATACCCTAACTTCTTGTGAGCACCAATGGCCATCTTTGCAGATTGTGACCATTCTAAGTAATTTAAACCATCCAACTTAACTGTAGTAATGGTCCCAGCCCCGAAAAGGTCTTCAACACCTCCTCCCACTGGTCCCATTTCACTCCCGGGTTTGTTTTCAACTCCGTTACCCTCCATAATTCTCAAAAAGAGGTTAGAAGGTTATTGTAAGATGAAAGAATATCAAATAAATCACTTCTGGTACCACCGACACCCTTCTGGTGCCCTAGATGATCTTCCCACAAAAGATTCATTTTCTGCGGGACGGGAGCAAAGAGAGAAGAGGCAGCCGCTCTCTCCAGAGACCTCCAAAATAGGCAGGACTTGAACCGCCCCCTTCAGAAAACTCCAAGGAACCCTAAAAACTTAGGGTGCCACTTCCTAAGTCAAAATTGAAGAGTCCAACAGAAATATGACTCTCCCTCTTTCTCTAGTTTTTCTTGAATTTGATGGGAAACCCTAGACCAGCTACAAGGCAAAACAGATCCACCAAAAAATCCAAAAACTGGGCTTACCTGAGATCTTTGATCAACCTCTCAAATCACCATGCAGTCAGCTGATCTAGGGCTGCATGATAGAACAACTGAAGGAACCTTTGGCCTTCTCTGATACCAAGTAGAAATCACTTATTGCAGTTTTAGATGAATTCCTTGTGAAGAGAAAGAAGAAGAAGATGAAGAGTTTCAGCAGTAGAGAGAAGAAAGGAGAAGAAAAGGAGTGGGATGTCAACCAGAATTGAATTAGTTCTGGCTGCCAACCCCTCTTTGTATTATATACTCAAATTAAAAGAATAAGAGATTACAAGAATGCCCTTAGTAGGGAGGCTACTTAAGTAGCTGAACAGTCACAACTTAAAAAACATAAACTAATGGGCCTAAAGCCCAATAACTTCCTAACTTAACAACTTAAAAATAAAAGACAAATAATTGGGCCCAATAACTAGAAATCGGCCCAACTCAACATATACCAAGAAGGCTACTTTGAGGGGAGCTGCTGTTTTCCATACTCTGTCCTACGGAAGCCTCTCCATCTCTTCACCGTTCAGCCTATTGTAAAATGATTTTACCTTGAAAACTCCTGATTTTTCCCCTACCCAAATTCTTTTATCTGGTCTTGATCCATCATGTCTGATTTTGCTGATGATTCTTTGCATCATCTCCATCCATTGCCCTATCTCCCAATCATTCAAATTTCTTCTGAATGTGGGGCACCATTCACCTGAACTCCCATCATGTGAAAATACTTCTGAAATCATGCACTCCTTGTTCTGTGTAATCTCAAACTGTTGGGAATATCTCCTTTAGAAGTTGCTTTCCACACCAGATGTCCTGCCAGAACTTTATCCTTGTTCCATCTCCAATTTCAAATTTAGTTCCCTTCTCAAATTCCAAAGATGATTTCTGTGTTCCTCTTCATACTGCTCACCCATATGATATGTTAGCTTCTCCCAGCTCCCAGTTTAGATTGCTTGATCCATATTTTGACAAGCTGTTAAGCTGTTCATTCCATCTTTAATACCACTTATGCATGCCACATTAAGTTTTCTAATTCTTCTCACTCCTAGACCCCCAGCCTTCCTTGAGCTGCAAACCTTGCTCCACTTGACTAATGCAATTGGTTAATTTAGTTTCATATAGACCTTTTAACATGTTAACATGTATGGATATGGATCTAGGAGGCACCATAATTAAGTGGCTATACAATTCATGACTTCACACTTGCTTTGACTCTGACTGCATAGCACTAATATGCTTCTGAAAAATCGTATCAAGAAAACAAACATATGTATTTCCAGCTCATCAATTCTGGTTCTATTTGAATTTGAACACTCTTAACTCCTTCAGGTACCCTTTCTATCTAGTGAACCAATTTAAAGGGGGAATTTTTGTGATTGTAGGAAAGGTTGCAATGGAAGGAAAAGTGGAGCATAAATTTGACATGAAGCCCCATAATGAAAATATTGAGGCGTATGGTAAATTATGCCGTGAAAGGACAAACAAATGTATGATTAAAACTAGACAAATACAGGTTAGTATGTCAGTTTATTCTCTGTTTTCTTATGACTGGAATCTCATGTTCTCTTTCCTTGAGTTAATAAATTCTTTGTCCAAAAAGGTAATTGACAATGACCATGGAGTTCTTATGAGGCCATTGCCTGGAATGGTTGGTTTAGTGGCATCTGGTTCTAAGGTACTCATTTATAACTTTTCTTTACCAGAACAATTATGTTACTGTTAATTTTCTTATATGTTTCTATTGTCTAGAAATTATCTAGTTCTTGTGATATTTAGAAATCCATTTCTGGGTTTTGTAAAGGGACTGTGCCTTATGTAGGAAAGCATGGTTCAGTTGTTGTCCTTGTTTTCCTCTAATGCTTTTAACTTCCTGTAAAAGCTAGGTTATGTTGTTTAAATAATTCTATTTTATTCCAAAGCTTACTAGATCCCATCTGTGAAAGAAGATAATGCTTTGTCTTTAACGCCAGTAATTTCATACGTGATGTCTTTCTGCTACAATTTGTCCAGGATAAGAAGAAAGTGACTCCTGTGAAGGGAACGGACATGAAAAGAACAAGAAGGGACCGTGGGGAACTGGAGGATATTATGTTTAAGCTCTTTGAAAGGCAACCGAACTGGACATTGAAGCAGCTGGTCCAAGAGACAGATCAACCTGCAGTAAGTTTTTTAATTGCTCCTTTGCATACCTTTTTTTTTTGGGCAAAGCAGTATGTTTCTCTTTAAGAAAAGAATGCAAAGAGAGAAGAATGCATTTGGTATTTTGTGCTTACATCCATGGAAGGTCCCCATGAAATTTACCATTCTCAACTCAAACTGTATACAGCCTTGGTGAACAATTTAGTTTTTACATCATCGGATCATGTTTCTCAAGGTTTCCTAATCCATGTACAGCAAAAATACCCCTGTATGATGAAATTTTCGTACTGTCCTCCAGACCCCTCCAACACCTTTTCTTCACAAGCACTAGCTATTGTGATTCTGCATATTGTGGGGGTGTACTAAGGGAGAGTTCAACTCATCTTCAGCTTCATAGAACTCTCCTCTTTCCTTTTAACTTGTCCCATTAATACTGTATGCCCTTCAAAAGGAATTCCTTACATTTGAACAAAGTTTTGTTTGTTTTGAGATACCGGCATCTGGTATCCAGTATTGACTTGGAGAGTTTATTGGTTAAGTTCTATAGGTTGGTATTGGTTTCTGGTCTGCAAAGTGATGAAATAGTATGGAAGAAAAAGATTGGCTTGGGCAAAATGATTGACATGAGCAATGAAGAAATATTAGGTGATATTTGGGAAATTGGGGTAAACTAAGGGGGTGGTCGACAACATGGTTAGTTTTGTTTTTGGAAACAAAAATAATGGCTATATCAGCAAAATTATGTGGCAAATGTTTTTGTTTTCAAAACAAAACCATGTTGTTTGAACACCCCCCAAGTTGTTTGTCTAAATTAAGTCTAGAAATGAAGCTGACAACAGTGAATTTCGTAGGGATCTTCTATTGTAGACGTGATTAATCAATCAAAAAAGTAGATACATAGTTAACCGGTCAACTGTATGCATTTAACTTTTTTTTTTTTTTCATTTTTTATTTCTGGCAGCAATTCTTGAAGGAGATATTGAATGAACTCTGTGTTTACAATAAGAGAGGTACAAACCAAGGAACTTATGAGCTTAAGCCGGAATACAAGAAATCTGCTGAGGATGTAGATGCTGAATAATTTAACACCTTTTTTCCTGATTCTATATCAGATTGTGCAACTATTTTTCTTCTTTTTCTTCCCCATAAGCTGATTGTGTCAAAAAAATTAAGATGGAGCAACACCCCTAGTTCTTCTGAGATCCATGACAAAATAATGATCCCAGTTGTAGCCAAGGGGTTCAATGTAACATGATGAAGAGAGACGAGGCATATAGGATAGAAGTATATAAAGACGTTTAAGATCTCAGGTCTAGCATTCAAGTTACAGCCCTTATCTATTCAATTCTCATGTTCTCACAAAAGCATTAAACTATTTGTATTTTGTCAAATGGAGGACTTCAAAATGTACCTGTTGTCTGCTGACTGTGGTGGAGTTTGATAACGTCTGATTGAAATGAAATAGACATGGTCAAGGAATAAAAAAATGTTTGTCACTGTCCTTTTTAACATTTTTACATGTACACCTGTTATCTTTTTGTCTTTAGTTAGTTTTAATATTTAAATGGAATATGTAGGCCTATATCATTCAACATGCATGAGTGATTCTGTGCTGTCTCCTCCTGAGTTTGACTTACCAGAATAATCAATGCTTAGCTTCACCAACTAATATGGCTGAATTAAGGTAGATACTTCATTTCTTTGTATGTAACTCCAACAAATCAAATTTTGTAATCGCCAGCCGGGTCAAGCCCTCGTACTTGCATCACAAGACAAGAGAAGACCATGAATTACTTGGGCCCAGCCACTAGTCCATCAATGTTTCTACTCATTTACCATCTTTTGTCAGATGCTTACATGCCACGGAGGAGCAACTCAGCTCATCCTATACAAAAATTGATAGCCAGGGAATCATTCTCTAGTCTCTACCATTAATTTCGCTAACTTCATAATTTCTCTTTGATGCCAATTACTCATGCAACGATAGTCTTTTTGGTACCCCTTTGCATCCACTTGAACCACCCACTCTCTGTCTCTGGTGTCTCCAAATTTCCCTTCTATTGTGGGCCTAGTGGCCTTAATCTCCGTATTGGTGGGCCTTGTGATGTAATAGGAAAGGGAAAAAAAAAACTCTTCCAATTTTGCTGTGGGCGTTCTGTAATGGAACATGACTAGAGTTTAATTTTAATGAATGTATTGGATAAAATAAAGTTTAGAGTTTGTAGTCCTAGACTTCAAGTTATCATCATTATCATTCATCATCTCCGGGGCAATGGACAAGACAACAATATTAAATTGTATCTTCAAGATGGTTTTTGTCTTATAAACGAAAATATTATGTAAGCATTGGACATGTTGAAACTTGGGAGACTTTCGTGTCAATTCGAAGGCTGCTACTGTGTTGAGCTGAGCCTTTGATGGGCCAGACAGGGCTCGCTGGGATCGCCATGTAGCGAAGAATCCCCTGCCCGGCTGCCCCATCCAACCTTAAAATTCTAAAGGGCTCAGATCTGCGACTCACAAGTTGTTCTCACATCCCTACTCACAGGATAATACAGATACGGCTGTGCATTGAAAATATCATTCACGGGAGGTATTTCCAATACATGGCAATGGTGTTATGTGGGCAGGGATGTGGGAACTATGTAACAGATCCGGATTGAACTCTAAATACCCCAAATCCACATCTCTCCATCAATGATAATATACAAATACGTCCATGTGAAATGCTAAGCTTAAGATTTAAGAACTTATTTTCTTTTGAACCTTGCAAATTTATCTTTCTTTCTTTTTGTTTTTTATTTTTTTCGCGGGCCCATACAAATCAATCTTACGCTGTAAATCTAGAATATTTGTGCAGGACCCACTGTTTGGGGGACCCACTTGAGATGACAATAACAATCGAGAAATATGATGTACGGTGCATTATTTGTAAGAAAACAAACTGCATGGCGTAGTATCGCTCCCGAATATATTCGGTCAAAGAAGAATAAAGAACACGTAACAAACAGTCTTCCCCTAGTCCCATGTGTAGAGCAAAAGGTGCATGGCACACATCTCTGAACTCTGATGAGTGATGAACGCAACGCAGTGTTGTTTGTAACCAACTAGTAGATCCTCACTAGCTAGTCACTGTTGGAGAGAGTTTGAATTTAATTTACTTCTTAGTTCACCATTTGTAGTTTACTTATTGTATGACAACAGGTCTTTGGAGGGGTAGGAGTTAGGGCTTCAACTAACAATATCAAGCTCTCTCCATGGTTTTAGGTTTTTTTTTAGAGAATCAAGTATTCACACGACATATATTACCATGTCAGAATTAACTCTACAAAAGACAAAATACGTAAGACCTTTTGCTTTTATGGTATTCTCTCTCTCTTCTTAACTGTTTATATTCATATATATATATATATATATATATATATGAATAGACCGTTCATGAATAGACCCATCACTGCAATTGGACTTAGGTCATCTCAGTGAATCTCTGTGGCATGTAGCAGGCAAAACCTTGACTAGTGAGACTGATCGGATCGGACTCGTCTCAGACTCCGCAAATTCCCATCACGAGTGACGAGCCTCGCATTAAAACCTTGCTTCTTGTGCTTACTCTAAACTCTAAAACGAAAACGATGGAATGGTCTACTTCATCCTACATTGGCAAGAATTGACTGAAATCGTCAACATTGCTATGCGCCATGATGCCATGTTCCTGATTGTATCAGTGGATCCCCATCTTCCATACATGTGACTTCACTGACTTGAGAGCTGGCAATGAAGCAGGGGGATTCTTCATTGCTTTTACAATGAGAGAATCGATGAGTTTGTTATGATTTCAATTTGTGACTCATTGCTCCATGAATCCTCCACTGTAGCACATTAATCAGGACATCAATTGGATTGCTGAATGCCTGAATCTATTCTGGGATAGGTGTCAATTGGTTTGGGGCGTCTTCGTTTTAATTATGACCCCTCGTCCTCATGCACAATTAATTAATTTTCTTGCTTGAGTGGTTAATTCTGTCACCTTCTTTTGGAAATATTAGTTTGTCATCTTGGAAATGCAAGAAGGGTACAAGTAGTTCACGCGCATGATGATTTGACGCAGCATCTGGTTCAATCAGTTAACATTTGCTCTTGTTGATATCATCTGGGACAAGATTATATTGTCTAGAGAATCCATCTTCCTACTTTCTTGGGTATAGACGTCGACATAATTCTTGAGCATAGTGTATGTTTCAGTTTTTAATAATTTTGCCTTTTATGTAAAATTAATTGAATAGCTAATCAGATTTATTCTTTCCTGCTTCATTGAAATCTCCGATCTAAACATTTATAGCATTAGCTAACTCTTTATTTCTTTACTACTATATGTTTTCACTTGCACACTTTTATTTAATTTATTAATTTTCTGCCTGCCCAAATTCCAGATTTCCATCCATTACCAACATCAGTTGATATCCATTTGACATGTTTCTCTAAATGAGCATAACATTAGTTTTTTGGTATTTCTTAATGTAATAGTAAATGTGTATATGCATTGCACTTGATAGTTTTGAATGACAATAATAGTAAAAATCCAATAACTCTCATATTTAGAAGTATTTTTGTTTAATATGATGAATATGTAATATTAAATACATGCTTTATTTTTTTTTGTAAATTTTATAATGTTTTCTGTATTTATATTTTATTATTTAATTTATGACATCACAAATTTATTTGTTTGACATGAGGGAAATGTGTTTTGTTTGATTTTTAGAATATTGGTTTTTTTTATGTTTTTTTCTCTTATCTCATGGTCAAATCATCCGATCAAACAGTCAGTATTTTGGATCCATTTATCATCAAATTACTTGCTTGCAAAACACCATTAGCTTGATCACCAATATGGTGACCAAACTGTTCAAACCAATTGAATGGTTTGACCTAGTTAGTGGGGTCACAAGTTAGACATTAATTCTCTTTTTTCCTTGATTTTTGTATTTCATTTTCATCATTAATAAAAATAATTTTTATTTATTAAGTTTATACTCTTAAGATGATGAATACATAAAAATAATTTTTATTTCTAATTTTTTACAATTTACTGTAATCATGGTATACCCAATTGACTTAGATGGTTGAATTGTTGTGCCACCACTTGCATGGATAAAAAAACTAGTTTATTCTTGGGTCAATTTTATTGTATTCCATTTTCATTCTTAGTAAAAAGAAATCTTATTTTTCATACTTATTTTTGTTTAATATGATGAATATAAATATCGGAGATGTATTCAATTGTTTTTCTACAAAACTTCTACCCTTCTTTTTGTTTTTTTATGTTTCTATCTTTTTAAATATTTATTATTTAATTATGGCATCATGGGTTGACCTATTTGGTCCTTAAGGTTGGACCGCTGGCGTATCATATAGATGGTAAAATGATTTCACTTTTAGATCAATTTTAAATTTTGCATTTCATTTACATCATTCTTTTATCACACTTATTTTTGTTTAATATGATTACTATATATTAGAGATGTGTATAATTTTTTTATATTTTAAACTTTTTAGTATTTAATTATGTTATTATAGGTTGACCTATTTAACTCAAATGGTTGAATTGATTACCCACCACTTGAAAAAAAAATTATTTGTGAGCTATTTTAAAAATATAGGGGTTTATACCATTAAAATTATTGTTTATGGATTTAATTAGTGGAATTTAATGATGAGAAAACAAGGGTAACTTAAATATAGGATTCAATGAGAGAAAATGGGAGTTAATACTATACATATAGGTTTAATGTGGGAGAATAAAATAAATTTAATAGTTGCATTCAAATTATAGTTTTTACCCTCAAAATAGAGATTAACTAAATTCGAAAAGAGGTGCATTTTGGTTAAAAAAGTTCCAGAAACCATGTGGAGATATTCCCACTTTTTATAGTAGTATATATAGATTAGGCCTTGAAGATGGAAATTGCTGAGAAATTCAAAGCAAGTTATTACTTCAACCTTATTAACAATTAGGCTGTGTTTGATTTGAGGGAAAAAGTAGGGAAAGGTGGGGAAACCTTTACAAACCATGTATAAGTTTCCCTACCTTTTCCTTCAAACCAAGCATAATGTTAATGCATTAAATAATTCATAAGTTAGTGCTAGTCAATGACTTAGTCCTAGGTTAAATTAAACTAGTATATATAAAAGAATAAATGCATAAAGAAAGCTAGTGCTTGTAAAATGACTTAGTCCTAGGTTAAACCAAAACTATTTAATTTCTTTTTGAAGCAATGAATTTTTATTAAGCAATCTAGCAAGAAAATCTTTATCTATAAACACATGAAGTATTATTATATTTATCAGTAGATAAAAGCTGTGATGATTGTTTTAGTTTGAAGAAGGATGTCATGGATTTTCTTTCTATCATCATCATCCTCATCCGGGTCTTATCCCTAGTATATGGGAATTGGCTATATGAATCCTATTTCACCATTTTGTTCTATTTAATGGCGTATTTCATTGTTAC